CCCCCCCCCCCCCCCCGCCCTCCCCAGTTATGTAAATATATATATGGACTCATGTAAAATGCAAAATTGCCGCCAGTTATCTAATCTCTTTCTCGCTCTCTCTCACTCTCTCATTTCGTTTTCCTTTGCGCGCCTTTCTTATTCGGTTTCAATTGCCCCTCGCTCTCTCTCTCTCTCCCGGTTACCCTCCTCTTCTGCTGTGGATGAAGGAGAATTTTGAGGCTTTTTTCTTCCTTCTTAGACAAATCGGACCTCGCTTTTCTTTTGGAGGAATTGCGCGTGCGTGCGTGCGTGTGTTTTTGATGGATGTGACTTATAACCCCCCTCCCCCCTACAACATGCTGCAAACTCTAACTGAAATCACAAAGCCCTATTCTCTTCTCTCTTTCCCTCCCCCCGTCCCTCCCTCCCTCTTCCCCCACTCGCAAAACAATATACATAAAAAGTAAATAAATGGTCAATTAACATGTTAATCGGATTGGTATTTGGCTTCATAAATAGCTACTAGCGGGAACTTCTTCCTACTAAGTCGTGCGCTAACTTTTTTCGCAATACACAATAGGGGGTCGCGTTAATTTGTTTTCTACGGTTGATGAATGGTAAAACAATTAATCAAGTAGCCAGTGTGTGTGATTGTTGTGTTGGAGAAATGGAATGGTGAACAGGACTGTGTGGTGAAATGCTGATATTTGACTGCTTGGAAGGTGTGAAGGTGGTAAAGACTACTCAAAAGGAAACCAAGGAAACCCTTTGTATGTGATCTTATTATAAGAATAACTAAACGCCTCTTACTTATCTTGTTAATTCGAGGGCGAAAACTGTGTTCTAAGCCATTTTGAAGCCGTTTTTGAGTAGCGGATTTTGTCGTTTTTAAATTTTTCAATCTTGAGGATTTCTGATTAGTATATCTGAAAAATTTAATTTGTAAAGTTATAGAAGTCTCCAAAGTATCAAGGAGCACACATTAGCGGTATAAGTTTATCCCAGGGTAGTAAAGATTGGCTAGATTTGCTTGAAGAGTATAAAACTATCTCTGCGCTGAAAGTCTTTTAATACGCAAGCTTTCATTACGCAGAGTAATTCGATAACTATGAAGAGACTGTTGATAATAGATCACAAAATGAAAGGTCAGTATGAAAATGAAGAAAGTTTATTAATAGGCAAATTTCACCTCAGCCATTGTTCGATATGGTAAAGGGATATATTTCGCCGTTTCTAAGACCTCCAGCTTTACTGCCTTTTCATATCCGTAAAGACACTAAGCGCATTTATCGAGGCAAAAGCATCACTTATTGTAAAATACTATTTACTGCTAAGAGGTTATGTACAATAAGAAAATTATACAAAATTCTAGCCATTCTTTTCTGCGGTCACGGAAGCTGTTGCTACAGGTCGTTCAAAAGAGTCTTCGTCAGATATCTTTAAAATTCTTTTCCGTCTCTTCAGCTCTTTTTCGAATCTCCCTAACCGATCCCTCTCACGACGTTCACGGATTTTCTTCTCGCGTTCAGCTCGCAGGTAATAAAGCGTCCATGCTGACCACATATCTTCTTCCGTATCTTTAGGCTCTTGTGGTTCAAGATGTTCTTCTGTAAGTCGTTTACAAGGACGACCCAATTTATCAACTCCATCAACTTCTTTAGGACCAACCCACTCTCCTTGCTCCACCTCACTGATAGCTTTATCCCTTTCTTCAATCACCTTCAAAATGTTTTCCATGCTTTCTTCAACCTAACAAAATCAATTCATATTACCTGACGAACCTTTTCGAATCGTTCGGGATTAGGCATTCTTTCAAGTAGACGCCAATGTTCTTCCTCCATAGTCATTAGCATGTTACGTTCTTTAAGAAGAATATACCATAGACTGTGGAGATCGGCAGAACTTTTACGACGCAGTTCATCAAGACGCCAGGGTCTACCAGCCTTGACATTGACTTCACCCCAATTTTTGGGATCATCAAAAAACTCATTAAGGCCAAGGTGTTTTACGGAGAGACATATATTTCGGACAGGAGTTAATCTGAATAGAAAAGATCTATTTAAGTAAATAGATAATGACTAACGAACCCTCGTGACAACATCCTGCCCTGGACTATTTTTCTACTGGTCAAATCATATGTAACGCTAGTATTGCAAGCGATACTAAGTAAAAATGCTCCGTATATTTATATAATTTCAACTAATTTCCTTGCAAAAATTTATGATGCAAATCATAAAGAAATGTTGGCTTTTTCTGTTTTTTTTAATTTTAAGTCAAAATCGATTGTCTAGAAATTATTAAATAAATGGTCAAATAGTTACTTGCAAGTACATTCAAAATGAATTTTTTTATTTTAGCACAAATCACTTTATTAAAATAAATTTTATTGCTTAATGACATCAGCTTATAAACAGTTTGCAAATTTTTTGCACTTGATATTATTTTTAATAATAATTAAACATTCATTATCCGTTTTAGTGCCGTTAAACGTGAATGTCTTCCAGTTAATATCTACCTGAATAATTTGCTTTTTATTGCTCCATTTGGATCACCAGTGCAAAAATTATGCACAATTTTTTATATAAAGGAATTTTGAGATGTTGATGTTGTACTGTGATAAATAATCCCAGTCATTTGGAACATATTACCATCTGTAGCGGATTGCTACACATGTAAAGCCTTGAATGGCTCAGAAATCTCTATGGCAGTATCTTCTATATCTTGCTAGACTCCCTAAACTATCTAAGCTACGCCGAAGCTGGTGAGAAAAGAGACGTTTTGCACAAAACACGTTTTTTGAAAATTATGAAAACGGCAAAAAGCAAATAGTTATTAAATAAATCTAACTTAATTTGAGAGAACATTTATAGCTAAATATCTGAGCAGAGCTCTACAAGTGAGGCCGCACACTCCAAATCCTGGCGTGTCCAACATGATTAAACTCCTTCAATTTTTTGAACAACGCTTTGATGTAATTATTTTATCCCCTATTCGTTTTCGCCACCCAAAAGTTACATTGTTAATCAATACGAAAGTTCCGTCGGCCACACTATGGGAAAAAAAGAAACTAGAGGTCCTCTTTTCCACACTTTCTCATAAGCACGCCACATTTAGGCCACAGATCCGTTTTGCTCCTTTCTGAAAAACCGTCTTATTTTCATTCTGATTCTAATGTATAATCGGAGTTAGATTCAACTGTTTACATTTTGATTAGTAATATTTTCTGCTGTTACACATTAGTAGCAATCCATTAATGACATAAATCAGGAAAGAAAATGCAATTTCATATCGTCTGCATATGGCTAAAATGGAAGCTCTATTTAATTAGATATATATTAGTAAACAACATTTTTTAATTCATAATATTTTACGTTTTAAGGCTTTAGAATGTTTAAACTAATGATAACGTTACTTTATTTACCCTTAGCTTATCTAAGGGCGGTAACTTCAGCCTTATATTTACTCACCACTATGATTGCAAGGAAAATAATGAAGACCTGACAATAATGAAGGGAACATATCTTAAGTGGTCAAACAGGTGTGAGCAACCTGCATAGCACCCGTTGGCATTCTTTATAGATGGTCTAAACAAGAATGATTTCGTGAGTCAGGGGATCCGTGTCTTTGACCTTGATCACTATGAGTTCGACAATAGGAAAGAAATAGGAAAAAATACTCAGTTAGACTATTTAAACTTAATACTCTGAGATGAGATATTCAACATTATCAACATTTCGAACTATGTCATTCATTATATGATTTTATGCTTTGGAACGCTGGTACAGATCGCATACAGGTGAATGTGATCCTGGAAATAAGTTACATAATTGACATTATATTTGAAACGAATACTTAATTGAATAATGTTTTGAATTTCATCAATCAATTTCAAAACCTTTTTTAAATTTTAAGAGTAATTATGCATTAGCTGTTATTATATTCCTTCATAATTATACCAGTTGCGTAAATTTTAACCCTTGTCATTTTGCGGATTATTAGGGCACAAAGTTCTAGTTTAAGGCAAAGAATTTTGAATAAACGCATACTTAATTAAATTTTTATATTTTGGAAACACACAAAAGTTTTGTTTAATTTTCCTAAAATATAACCTAGAGCTAACTGAAGTTAGAGTGGTAATTTGCTACAAATGAAATGTCTTTGAATGACAAAATATGTTTAGTGGTAGGAGCCAGTGCAGGAATAGGCCGAGCCATATCCCTTAAGTTAGGTAAAGCGGGAGCAAGAGTTATAGTATGCGCCAGAAGAATGCATTTATTAGAATCTCTTTCCAAGGAGATAGGACCCAATGCTTCTGTTAAACATTTAGATGTTACAGATTTCGAAGAGGTATGGTATTTTATTTTATTATTCCCAAGGTCGAAAAACGAATAGGGGAAATATTCAACGAATTTGGAAGAATTGATATTCTTGTCTATGCTTCTGGAATTTTTACTTACTCTTTAATAAAAAATAAATTCTTCGACGATTGGCATAAAATGATTGCAACGAATTGTCAGGTATATGATTACGCTCTGTAAAAATTCGGTTGTTTTTAGGGGGTAGTAAATGTTATTGGATCAGTATACGCTGAAATGCGGTCAAAAAATCAAACTGGTCATATTGTAGTCATCAGTTCTGATGCAGGTCGTGTTCCTTTTCCTGGACTTGCTGTTTATTGTGGAACTAAATTTTTTGTCGAGGGTTTTCTAAGATCTCTTCGTCTGGAATCCAAACCTAACGAAATTGTTATTACCTCAATTCAACCAGGAGGTTTTGCAGCTCCCGTTCAACAATGGACAACAGATACTGAGGTATGTCAAGCGTGTTTGAGAATTACTATGTAACATAATAATTATGTAAAAAAGGAAGTAGTTGCCGGACCAGAGGGTATTTAACCACTTTTACACTGTGATTTTGTAACCGAGAAAATTTCATCAAATGCATTTACTTGATTAGCTACATGTTAAACTCTCTTTTATAGGTAAACAAAAATTATTTAGTTGAATAATATTCAAGTTTACTCCTTAATTCCCAAGTTACATCAATACTGGGCTCATATTGCATGATGCCCAATTTCCAGCTGCACACCCCCTTAGGCCATTCGCGTTTTAAGGCTTCTCTGAGGAATGATTTTTTCAATATGAAATCAATTTCAAAATTTTAAACATTCTCTTACTAGCAGTAATTGACTTTAAGTTAGACAGTACAGGTGGATGAAAAAAATGAATGTCTCAAGTAGCCTTCTTCATTCTTAGAACAAAAAACACCGTTTCATTAGAAAATTAACAGATTTTGTTATATCTTGTACCGTTGCTCAATTTATTGTTTATTTTACCTCAATTAGTGATCCAGGTCAATATGAAAAATGTCAAAAAGTGTGATTTTGTTGTTAGAATGAGAGAAATGACTGACATACGTCACATTAATCCTTAATATTTAGATTTGAAGTTATTCCTTTATAAATCTAAGCACCTTAATAAGGATTACTATAATGCAATAGTCATTTCCATATCGATTTAGAATACTACTAGAACCTTGGAAGATCATCAAGAAATGAAGGATGAAGAGGGGTGAGTTATCTGTAGAGGAAGTAGGAAATTGAAATGCTGGAAGTCTGAACAGTGCACATGAAAAAAAACTTGAAATAAGACATGCTAATAGGGGGTGTCTAGTTTTGCATTATTCGCTTATCACAATTTGGTAGCGATATCTGGGAGATCTATTAGATACCGTCCCTATTTGTTTGATTTTCTAGGCAGCACAACTCTTTCCTCCTCCCCATCGTCCACCCGAGGAGTGTCGAAAGGCGTGGGAGGCCGTGTTGAAGTATGAGCAAGTAGCCGAAGCGGTATTTTTTGCCGTATCTCAGCCAAAAGGTACCGCGATTAATGAGGTAATGGTTGAGCCCATCACTGGCCCGGTTTAGGTGACTTGCAACCGCAATTATAACACTTTACCGCAACTTTCGCACACTTTACTACTGTGTTTCATCTGTGCTTTTTCATCATATAATTTATTTTATGCATAATATATATTTATAAATATTTGTTTTTAGAATAAACCTTTTTCTCTATGGATTGGAATACTACTTTAGATTATCCTCATTAAATAATAACCGTCTAGTTCCAGCGTAATCAATTTTTCATTCTGTTAATTTACATATAGAATTATGCAATTAAGCTAAAAATCTGTATTTCCTTATTATTTTATTGTTTGAATTTCATGTGAGGTTTCTTACGAATGGCGAATTCTAAATTCAACACTAAGTAACGATTGAGACATTTAAGGGGAAATTCATTTTAAGATATTCTAGGTGCACAATTCAATTAAAATTTAATACTTAAACAAACATTAATAATTCTTGCGCAGGGGATAGGCAAGAATAGTAATATTCAATGAAAGCGTAAATGGAAATCGATTTTACTTATTCTACCAAGAAGGACATGCTGTTAATATATAAGCTATAGGAGAATCAATGAAGGCAGATAATAAAATACTATTTAAAGATTCTAGAATTTAAGGTAGGAATAAAGCCGAACCTCCAAAGACCTATCAAGTCAAAATTTAATAAAAATGAGTTAGATTTTATTCCTGGGTCGTCACATCATATCTTAATTATTATAATAGTTCAATATTACCGAGATAGACTTACCTTCACGTGGTGCACCCTGGGCAACGTATACTCATACGGCAAACAAACTGGTGCACCCTGGGCAACGTATACACGGCAAAAGAGTCCGGGTGCACCCTGGGCAACGTATACTCATACAGCAAAAATGTGGTGCACCTTGGGCAACGTATACTCATACGGCAAAAAACCCCTGGGCAACGTATACTCATACGGCAAAAAATTCTATAAATTTCTGACTTCAAATTACCATGACCCCACTGTATGTCATATGCGACTACTTCTATAGTACTCACTTTACCTTTTCTCTGCCTTTGTGTCTGTCTGTATTTTTTGCATCCTTGAATCACTTTTCTGTCCCCCCTCTCGACTTTTTTCACTTTGATGCTCTTTCCCCTCTGTGAAGCCTGAAATCAACTAAAGGGCTGATGATAACTATCAAAACGCCTGCCACCTGATATAAATGGATAAATAAATAAATATTGCAGTCATTTATACATCATAAGGTCTTGAAATACCCAAGTCCATCCAAGAAATGAAATGAGACTTTTCCAATAACCTGAGAAAGAGATTGCAACTTTCTTTAATCTTCGTTGATGCAATCACGAACACCAAGGTTTTTAGCAGAAGCTTTTAAGTTCCTCATCGTCATATTCAAGACCCAAGGTACTTCATCCGCTTTAACGGCAGCTTTCATCGAATAGGCACCTTCCAGTTAGTGAACCAAAAACTCTTTTATGTTGTAATAGACTTCGCAACCAAACTTCATCAATAGCCATAATTTAAAATCGGGAGTATCTAGTCCAACAAAATTCAATCTTACTAAAATATTTATTTATTTATTTATATCAAATGGCAAGCGTTTTGATGGTTATCATTAGCCCTTTAGTTGACTTCGGGCTTCACAGAGGGGAAGGTTCATCAAATCGAAAAAAAGTCGAGAAAGGGGGGGGGGAAGAGGAGAGTGTTTCAAAGATGTAAAAGACAAACACAAAGGTAGAGAAAAGGGTAAAGTGAGTACTGTGGAAGCAATCGAACATGACATATAGTGGGTTGATGGTGATTTGAAGTCACAAGTCAACTGCCAGTTAATAGACTTTTTTGCTGTATGAGAATGTAGGACATATAGTGGGTTGATGGTGATTTGAAGTCACAAGTCAACTGCCAGTTAATAGACTTTTTTGCTGTATGAGTATACTTTGGCCAGGGTGCACCACGTGGAGGTAAGTCTATCGCGCACCCCTCTTACTAAAATATAGTTGTCAGTTTTTTTATTCACTGTCCTAAAGCTTAGATTAGTTAACTTGGTCGTTGTTCTTGACGCCTAATAAACCATATACGAGCATTGAATTACAATTTCAAGTAAGTTGATGTTTATTGACAGTAATTGCCAACACCACAGCAGGAGAAATCCAGAACTCCAAGAAAAGTGTTAATAGCATCGCATGGGATAATGATTTTTAGACTATGTCTACATTCAGAAATGAGGACAAGACTTAGGTTTAGTAGTTATTGAAAGGCAATATTCGAACGGTTAGAAGAAGTGCCGTGTTATGGTTAATATACGCTTATCTGTGCTAAAGTGTTATAAGTGATGTCATTGTCATTTTCACACTATCATTACGCTAATGCAAGATATCCACAGGGCTGTGCTATGGCCCCTGGTTTCTCAATTCTGTCTGGAAGAACGCGAAAGATTCGCCAATTAGAGATGATTTACTCATTACTATAAAAACCTCATCACGTGTATTTGTGTTCTTAGAAGAGATACAAAGATTGTAAAAAATACATTTATCTGAACAAAGAACTGTGAAAGATTTTTGCGATAATTTGGGATAGCGTAACAGAACTGTTAGTTATCCACTGAGGTTGGACCTATCTGAAATGCACTAAGTGCAAAAAATAACGCGCAATTCATTGATGATCTCTTGCATAAAATAGACCTACTTTATACATAACCTCGAGCAATGTCATTAATAGGTCATCTGCGTAGCCGATAATTTCCAATCGATGAGAATCTGTTCTCAAGAATGGGTATTGATAGAGGAAAGATTGGCGTTCATTGAACTAGGAGAATTTTACTTGGGTGCGCTGAAAGTATGCAAATCAAGTTTTTGGCAAAGAAGTGGCCTGTCATTTGACTGTTCAGATTAATGAATGTAAAAATGGTCAGGACATTGTGTGAGGGGGATGGAATTCAAAGAATTTGCAGTCATGATGAAAGTGCCCATGGTAAGCCGTCAAATAAACAATATCACTACTCGATAAGGGCAAATATGCCCCATTTTACATTTTATTGATTTAAATGAAAGTGTGTGTCTTACGCACATGACAATTCATGTAAGTGTCTTCTCATAAACGCTGTGTAATTTTGCCGTTAAACGTGACCTCTCAATTTGTCTTCATCTTTTTTTTCAACTAAAATTTCTTGACCTGTATTCAAAATACTCAGTATTTCATTATTTTTCAAATTCTTCAGACCTGGAAATTTTGCTCCCTACCAAGTTTTATTTTTAAATGACAGACAGCCAAGTTATTCAAGTTTTCCCTAGCAGAGTTGAAGGCAACTTTTCATTGTCAACACCTGAGTGAAAAATTAAAAAAAATAGATGAACATCCTTCATATAACAATAACAAGCATTTGAAGTTAATTTTATTAACCAAGACGACACTTTCATTTATTTTGCTAATAATGCAAATCCAACATTTGTTAGAATATTTTTGTTTAAGAAATATTTTGCCTGCATCTGTTCGTTCTCTCTCTCTCTCGTTGGGCTTACTCTCACAGATTACTCAAATAAACAGCTTGAGAGAGGATGTGGAGAATTAATCAATAAATTACTCAAACACCATCTCCTGATTGGTGAATGGTCGAGCCTCACAGTTGGTTAAATACTTTTAGATATTGGTTTTGGGACGAAGAAATACAAAAGAGCAATAAGTGTATAACTTTGACCTAATAGTTTTTCACAAATCAAGAAACAAAGTACGCGAGATTGATTAGTCCCACCTGTGTCCTATTCTCCCGGTTCCTCAAACCTCGGGGTGTCTTCCCCTCCTTCTTTCTCCCTTCCCCACTCATCCAACTCCAGAAGACCAACGAACTCAGGCTCGACTCAGGGGTGTGCGATAGACTTATCTCCACGTGGTGCACCCTGGGCAAAGCATACTCATACGGCAAAAAAGTCTACAAACCGGCAGTTGACTTCTCACTTCAAACTGCCATGACCCCACTGTATGTCATATTCGACTACTTCCACAGTACTCCCCTCACCTACTCTCCCTACCTTTGTGTCTCTCTTTTACCTCTTTGAAACACTCTTCTGTTCCCCAGCCCCCCTTCCTCTCGACTTTTTTCCTCTTTAATGTTCCTCCTCCTCCCTGTGAGGCCTGACAACAACTAAGAGGCTAATGATATAAATAAATGTTCGACTCAACTTGACCTTCTAACTTTGCAACGATTTTTGTGTGTCCCGCTGCCCTCAAATAGGTCATTAGCACAACGAGAGAGAGGCTAGCTCAACTCGCTCCAGCTACAAATGAAGTGCTGCCATTATTGTTGGTTTTAATTCTAAAGTCGTGAACTTACAGTGATTTGGAGATAATCGGCAACTTCTGCTTCCTTTTCCATAGTTTCAATCAAATGTCTGGTGTTCATAAGAAAGATTTTTTATTCTATATATACCCCAAAAGGGGCAAATGTTGTGTAATTAAGAATGAACGGACAGAGCGAACTATACAAACACGTTCTAATTCATTTGACAGCAGAAATTAGAACTAAAACGATTTGTAGGATTGGATGACATTACTTATTCTTGACGAAAGACAAGTTGGTTGGAAGTCGCCTGAACTTCCTGTTTTTAAGTCAGTCGAATCAACTCAAGTGTGCGAGAGAGATCTTGTGGAGACAATTATATTTCATTGTCCATACCGGGGGTTTTCCCGAAATTCCTCAAGGACGGTTAAACAGAAAATTGCATTTCATGAAACTATTTTTACTATAATAAAGAAGTAAAATATTTAAATTATTTAAGCCCGACAATAGAGCAAAGTTTGCACATCAAATGAGTGCAAAAGCAACGAAACTGTAAAAGTGTAACAGCAAAATAAGGGTGCTGAATATAACGAATGTAGATAACGCAAAAAAGCAAAAAAAACGTTGGGCTTACTTTCACAGATTACTCAAATAAACAGCTTGAGGGAGGATGTGGAGAATTAATCAATAAATTACTCAAACACCATCTACTGATTGGTGATTGGTCAAGCTTCACAGTTGGTTGAATATTTTTAGATATTGG